CCACGAAAATTTCCTTTGATGCTGACATGGCATTAAATAAATATATACTACTACTGAGAAAGTTGCTAATGTGAATGGGCAAGTGCTCACATTTTCTTCAGAAGATCTGATGTAATGTTGATGTTTGTATGTTCTAGGCACGCAAGCAGAACTCGTGCTGCGAGATCATGTGATCGCGTCGAAGTCTCTGATTGGACTGGACTCTTCGGCCACCTCTCCTCTCTGGTTTTCTATTTTCCCCTCTTTCTCTCTGTCCTGGTGTGGGCTGGTGCTTTTATCACGCAGCAGTCATAGCGAATACACGAGAGGGCCGATCCGACAGTATACAATAACGGGCTCAGAGGGGGCTGATTTCCCATGATGCACCACACTCACTCTGCCATCGGTTTTCATGTTGTGTGAGAACTTGGAGTTCTTCTTGACGATTCCTCAGGGTCTGGCACAAGCTCAAAACGGATCCGGATAAAAGCATAGAGGGGCTCGAGTCAAACGTCCCCGCTGTGCCTTACTTTAAACGCAGGAGTGTTGTTATCAGACTGTTGAATTAGCCTTATCTCAACGGAGGACATGCGAGTGAAAATGCTGCAGTCTCTGTATTTAGACTCATTATTCGGCTTTGGCAGTTTTGAAGCGCCTTGTAGAGTGAACATGTAGCGTGAATTCTTTTTAAATGTGAAAACAGTAAATAATGTGTTAAGTATTGATGTGTTCATAACGTTCGGATTCTCAATATTGTGTGTAAGTGACCGACCAAATTAAATGTTTCAGAGTCTGTTTGTGCACAATTCTAATGCTTTTTTTCTCTTGGAAATGTAAATAAATTACTGAATCGTATTGGCTTTGGCTTCTTGCATCAGGAGTTATTGCAATTTGGTTTTTAATACTTAAGAAACATTCCTGCAATTTGGTGGTTGATAACGAACATGTCTTGTGATATTTGAGTCATAATAAAGCCTTAAAGTGTGGTTTAGTGTGAAATCAGCCCCCTTGATCCTCGTGAGATGGTAAACGCAGTTGTAATCTGTGCTGTGTTAGTGATTGATCACATGACTCTCGCTGGACCTCTCAAATGCTGAATCCAATCTAATGATGCTTTGCTGCCAACAGCCTGAAGGCTCGACTCCTGAGTCCTCGTTTCAAATTAATGTGCTTTTTCTCTTTCTGTAAAGCTTAAATATACATGCACAAGTTTGGGTAAAACCAGCAGTATCTGGGTGAACCTGTCAAGATCATGTCCAGGTCTTATTTCACCCCAAAATCTGAAGAAAATCTATTTCTCGTTTTAGAACATTTATGTTTTTGCATTTGGACAATTAAGAACAAATTTCCCCCAATTTGTTATATTGACATTTTCTCACTGAATTGCCATGGGAATGTTCTTATTGTAAAAATAATAAGTTGATGAATTCTTTTAACATTCTTTTTATTTTAAGTTCTATTAATATTTTTGCATTTTGACAATTGAGAGAACTTTTCCCCCCCAATTTGTGATATTTTGACATTGAATTAAATCTCATTTAAAAAAAAAAAAAAACAGACTAAGAAAATAAGTTAATGCATTCTTTCAAAAATAATTTAATAGTAGGATTTTAAAAAAAAATGTATATTCTGTTTTGATTTTGGAAATCTCATAATTAGAACTTTTTGTATTTTGCATTCTGATGAATAAGAACAATTTCCCCAAAATTTCTCCCAATTTGTGATATTAAAGACATTTTCTCATCATTCTTTCAACAATAAATAGGATGTTTGTATATTTGAAGTTGTATATTGTTTAGATTTAAAAAATCTGGACCATTAATATTTTTGTATTCTGATAAGAACAATTTTACCCAAATTACCCCCAAATTGTGAGGACATTTTCTCACTTTGATATTTTGACATTGAATTAAAAAAAAAAAAAAAAAAAAAAAAAAAACAGATTAAGAAAATAAGTTAATGCATTCTTTCAAAAATAATTTAATAGTAGGATTTTTAAAAAAAAATGTATATTCTGTTTTGATTTTGGAAATCTCATAATTAGAACTTTTAGTATTTTGCATTCTGATGAATAAGAACAATTTCCCCCAAATTTCTCCCAATTTGTGATATTAAAGACATTTTCTCATCATTCTTTCAACAATAAATAGGATGTTTGTATATTTGAAGTTGTATATTGTTTAGATTTTAAAAATCTGGACCATTAATATTTTTGTATTCTGACAAGAACAATTTTACCCAAATTACCCCCAAATTGTGAGGACATTTTCTCACTTAATTATTACTGAGAATGAAATGTTCTTTTTAGTTAAAAAAGGAAAAAAGTTGATGCATTCTTTTGACAATAATTAAATAGTAGGTTATTAAATAATAGCAATACTTATAATAGTAGGTACATTTTGACAAGTAGGAACAATTCTCCCCCAATCATCATAATGTACTGGAAAAATGCGTAAATTGTAAAGTACTTAATATAATATAAAATGTATTAAACTGCCTTTAAGCTTATTATTAAGCCTTAAATCTTTATACGGTAAAATAATAAGAATGTACACAGTTATGAATAACTTATGAATAAAGTCTGGAAAATGTCTTGTAGTAATGAGAATTTGGGGTTAAAATGTGCATAACTGTCATGAAAATAATCTTATCTTTAAGAAAAGTAAAATTTCCTTTGCTTTTTTGAGGTGAAATATGACCCAAACGTAGTTAACGTTGTCTGTCCCAGCGGGCACTAGAGGAACGTTTTGTGTGATTGGCGTGTTGAACTGAAGAATCTGAATCTTAAGCTCATCGCTATGACATGTTCTAACACTAAAGTTGTGTTTTTTATACGTCAGTAGAGGTGGACTGAGTGTCGTGTGTGTAGATGTGTGTTCAGTTGAGGTTCTTCAGCACAGGAAACGTGTTATATTGGGATCTAAATGAGTGTGTGTTCAATCTGTGTGCTTCTATCTGCCCTCAGCAATGTACAAGTTACACTTCATGTGTACGACTAACTAACTAATCAACCAACCAACCGCTGATGTAGTGTGAGACCGTTTGAGGTGCCTTTTTCTGGTAATTGCCAAACCATTGCCGGCTCATTTTAGAAGAACACAATCGGTTAGTTATGTTTCAGACTAGTTGTTCCCCTTCACTTACTCATTAATTGTACTATAATTTAATATGTTGACTAATAAATGTTGCAGAAACAAAACATGCCTTTCATCGGTTTTTAACCAATAACCTGTGCTATAACTTGTCACGTGATCAAATGAGTAGTTGATGTTGAAATCAAATTACAACTGCAGAATCTTTGTCCATGTCTCCATTTTATACAGATGTAAAAGCATTGTCAAAAGGTTTATATTAGCTGATGAACTATCCAAGTCATATTTCATCTCAAAAATAAGACATCATATATTTTTTTAAACAGGACCTTGAAGTTGTTTTTGTATTATTTCCCATTACATTTTCTGCCTGAATTCTCATGAGTTAAATGTTCTCACTTATTTAAAAGAAAAAGTACTGAAAAAATGTTTACATTTTAAAGTAATTATATACCATGATTCTGAATGAAATGAAAAGTAAAAATAAGACATTTAATTAAGCCTATTTTGAAGAATATTAAGATTTTTTTTTGCAGTGACATTTTTATTTTCTCCACGAATTCTTATAATAAATAAATGTTTTCATTTGTAATAATGCTAATAATAATAAAACATGTGGATGCATTCTTTTGACAATTATTAAATTGGAATTATATAATTACATTTTTTTTAATTTGTTAATTACTTGTGCATTGTTGTCTAAATCAGCTGAAAACATGTAGCACTAAAACTTTATAAACAAAATCAGAACACAAGACACTTTATGAAGTAGAGTGTTAGTATTAATGAAACACAATATTACATGTTCAATATTCATCAAAATCATTTTGCACACGCAGTGAGACAGGAATCCTCATGCACGTCTGATTCTGATGATCTGGACTCTGGAGCGTGTCGTTCAGGATGACAGTCACAGTTCAAAGTGTCCAGAAGACTAGTTATGTCAAGATTTCCTCAACATCCCAATCCAAACCCAGTGTCTCTCAGGCTCTTTTGCCGTTAGGATTTCCCAGCCTTCTTTTCATGCTTATTCCTCGTGTAGCGAAAACTCTTCAGTGGATTTTTACCTCTCAAATTCTTCTGCAAACGCAACATAAATGAAAACAGCATTCATTCAGAGCGCCGTTACAGCATCTGTTTTTACATTCAATTCAAGTCCTGTCAACTACCCAACTACCGGTCATTATCATTAACTAAAATTAGATTTAGATTTTTTTTCTTGAAATAAAATAAACATTAACAGAAATGTTATATATATATATATTTATTTATTCATTTAGCAGAATGTATATATATATATATATATATATATCTTTGCTTAAATTGAAATACTAAAATAATAATAAAAAATACTACATGGACATTTAAAAAAAAAAAATTTTTAATGACACAAATTACTAAACCTTTAACTAAAATTAAACTGAAAA